GGACATTGGAGCGGCTCATGAGGACAAGTGCAGACGGAGTAGCAGGCTCCTTCCGGGGGACTCGCTGGGGCAGGGTGCTCAGGCCAGATGGAGCCTGAGAAGGAGCAGGGGGTAGCTCTGAGGGTGCCTTTGTCCTGGTGACCTGACTGGAATGTGCTACAAGCAGCATTTCAGCTACTTACTAAAGAACCACCCACCCACCCCCAGTTCAAAGAGAAACACTGATACCACAATTTTGCTCCCCATCCCCAAGACTCTGCTGATAGTCCCACATTGAAATGGGTTATTAATAAACAACCTAAGTCAGCCTAAGATAAGGGGCAAAGGACTCACCCTAACACCTAACATTTCACTTCTTTGGCCCTTGACCACACCACCTTCTCAGGCCTTAAGCTATTCAATCTGTGTAAGTCCTGTCCATAACACCACCCTCATTCACCAGCCCCCTACCTCCAGGGGCAGCGGAGGGCTGGGTCAATGAACACCCACAATTCAGGGAGGCTTGGCACAGGGGCCTTCTCAATGTCCCCTGCAAAGCTTAGTCTATTAAAGCTTAGACAAGTTCCTTGAGGCGCTGAACGCTGCAGCAGACACCAGTATTTACCCCTCTGGAACAACAGGCTTTCAGGATACCAAGGGCTACTCTGATGGCCCTGGATCACTTTTGATTTTCAACTTCTCAGATTAATAGATATTTTCTTTTGGGAGTGACCAAGGTAAAAGTGACAATGGTTTCTCATTCAGACTCCATTCTTGACCGTCTCACTCAGTGCTCCATGATGGAGGGAGCAGGGGACAAGGGAACAGATGGATTCTCTAAGATACCCAAGTCCCACCAGCGGGGAGGCTAAGCCTCTCTGCAGGGGCCCTTCCTTCTTCTTAAGCCAAAAGAAAACCCTAATACCTCTAAAAACATGATCCCAAACAGTGATTTGTACAGATCAACAAATAAGCAAGTTGAATAAAATACAGTGCAGAAATAGATCCACAACTTTGTGGGAATTTAATATATATAATAAAGGTGGCATTTCAAGTCAGAGGGTAGATTCTTTAATGAAAGGTGTCTGGACAACTGGGAAATATATCTATTTAGATCCTTACCTCACATCTGTCATTAAAATAAATTCTGAATGAATCTTTTAAACAGTAACTTTATTTCCTTCTAGAGTCTATTTCTATTTGCTGCCTTATTTTTTTTTTCAGGACAGGGGTTAGGAATCATGGCCTGAATGCCAGACCCTGCCTTCTCAGTCCCAGATATGATTTGTATTTGACGAGTAGGCTCAACACTGCAGGGGTCCTCACGGGCTGGGAGTAGCTGGCTGGTCAGATTCAAGTTGGCAGCACCTGACACAATGTGGCTGCAAATGACCAGACCGGGTTCTGCCGGCATACGTTGGACCATAACGGGAAAGAAAGTGCTAAGAGGATTGCTCTCTGCAGTACCTCAAATCTCCAAGTAGGAACTCGCCATGCGGGGCATGGGGGGCGGGCAAGGAGGGAAGGGCCTTACCGTCTGCCGGCCGTAGGGCCAGGGGTAGGCGTTCTCCTTCTGGGCCATCCTTAGAGGGAAAGGGGGACGAGAGCTGGACAGAGAAGAGAAACAGCTGTGAAAAGCAGAAAAAAAAGAGAGGGAGGGAGGGAGAGAGGGAGTAGAGGGAGGAGGGAAGGAAGGAGGGAGGGAGGGAAGGAGGGAGAGAGAGAGGGGAGGGGAGGGAGGGAGGGGTCGGACCGATCTAGCCGGAAGTGCTAGCCTGGGCTGGTGAGAGGGAGCCGGTCAGCACGCCGGTCGCAGTCAGCGCACTTCCGGGGGCTTGTCTCACCGCCCTACTCCCGCTCCTGGCCCCACACGCTTCCAGGATCCTCTCTCCACCCTTGAGCGCTCCGCAGCCCCGCGAGTGCGCGCGGGCCCGCCCAACAGACCCCAGATCTGCCAGATCATCTGCCTTGTTCCGGCGCAAGGCCCGCCAAAAGAGGCCAGCTCACCTGCAGCCCGAGGCACCGCTACTCTCCCGGTTCCGCAAACGACAGAATCGCCTAAGCCGTGCCCTCGCCGAGGCCCTTTCAAATCTCCCGCTCCG